CTGCCCATGGGCATCACCCCAGAGCAGTGTCACCTGCGGTGGCTGCCAGGTCCAGAGATGGCACGAGAGGCTTCTTGGGGCAAAATGCCCCTCACCCTCCGTCCCGCAGCGCGTGGACAGAGGAGATGGAAGAGCCGATGAGGAGAAAAGCCCGTCTTCCACCAGATCCTGTGTTTGTTTTTGTTGTTGCTTTAGCTGAAGTGGCTGGAGAGCGGTAATTAAAGGCTCAGTGGCTCTAATTGGAATAGGTTTAAACTGGAGGTCAAAATCCCTTCTGGCACTTCCTCTGCCTAATAACCATCAACAGAAATCAAACAAATCCAACTGGCTCCAGCCCCTAATCTGCAACCAGCAAAGGTCGCGGCGGCGATAAGGGAGCGCGGGGGCGGCAGGCGGCTGCACCGGGGGCTCCGACAGCCGAGAGCCGAGGGGTCCAGTGCTCAGACCCCGCTCAGGATGGACTGGGATGGGTCATGGGCCACACAGCAGCACCAGGGGATGCGTGAGGGTGTGGTGGTCCCTGGCTGCGTGGTTGGACACGGTGCAGCCGGGCTGGGGGATGGAGAGAGGACGGGACCCCTGGTGCGAGGGTGAGCGGTGCCAACGCTGCGTGGGACGGGCGCTCGGCATCGCATCGGCCGTTTTACCAAAACCCCCTGTTTTCTTTAGGCAGTTGAATCATAGAATCCTCTAGGTTGGAAGGGACCTTCAAGATCATCTAGTCCGACCATCAACCTACCTCTGACAAAAAAAATAAATAAGAAATAGGAAATAAGAATTACTAAACCATATTCCCGAGGACCATGTCTACCCGAACACCTCCAGAGATGGTGCCTCAGATGGTGGTGAGGAACCCGAGGGGGTGACGGGGGGTGGAGAAGGAGCTTTCCCCACCCGGTGTGCGTTGGGGCGCTGTGCACCCTGCGGGGGCTGCACCCCCAGCCCACCCACCGCTGTGTTTCCTGCCACCGCCCAGGGTCACTGCCCTCGCCAGGTCGCCACTTTAACTGCTTTTCTAATTATGCCCTAATCTGGACCTTTAAAGTGAGCTGGGAGGAGGGGAAAAAAAAAAAAGAAAAAAGAAAAAAGAAAAGGGGTTGCAGATGTTCCATGGCCAAGTACCGCGGGGCCGGGATGCAGCCGGGGGGGTGTGGAGCTGCCCCTCCTGCTGTGGGTCTGCCCGTCCTCCCGGTGGGGCTTTAAGTAACTTTTGCCCACAGATTCCATCCTTTTAATGTTTTTGGGCTCCTTGTCACCACGTTCCTCTCCACCAGTCCCCCTACACACGTGTTGTACTGGTTTGGGGATGTGGTGGTGAGTTACTGCACCATGCCCTGGGTTTAATCTGGGGGGTTCACTTTCCATCCAGAGATGGTCCCTCCGCTGTGGCTGGTTGAAAGCCAGGGTTGCCCTGGGCTTGTGGCAGTGGCCATTTACCAAACACCCTCCTGCGTGGGATGGAAACACAAGGTCCTGGGCCGGGAGCAAGGCAGTGGCTGCTCCCTTGGGGTTGTGGCACGTGGCTCCCCCAAACAGCATCATCCTGCCCCAAAACCAGCCACTCCTGTTGGGGGTGTGAGGGGATGGAGAAGCTGAGGCCACCCTCCTGCTGCCACCGGGACAGAGGGTCTGGTGGCAAAAAGAGCACGATGGGGCATGGTGCTGGGGCTGTGCAGTGCTGTGACCGCAGACATGGCTCCTGTGCTGCTGTTATGGCTTCTCAGGGTGCACAGAACAGCCAAAAAATGGAAAAAACACAAAAGCTGTGCTGCTGTATGAAGCTGTGCAGTGCCATGGGAGGCTGCGGTGCTGTGGGGTGCCGTGCCAGGCTGCAGGATGCCCTCGGAGGCCAGGCAGTGCCATGGCTGGATGCCCCGGCTGTGCCCCCCTGCTCCCCACACACAGCTGTGGTCGTTGCCGACTCCCTCCCACAGCTGTGACCGGGGCAG